AAAAAAAAAGAGGAACTTGTCGGCTGCCTACTAGCTAGGGCCAATAGTAAGCAACTTGTAATACTCTTTTTCTTTATAAAATTAAGATGATAGATGAAATTTGGAGGGACAAAAACACCACTGAAAAACCTGCAAATTATTCAGTTTAGGGGTGGTCAGGGTCAAGACTGCAAGTACTGTTTGGTCTTTTCAATTAATTTTACTCACTTATTGATCATGTTTAATACATGGATGTGACAATGTAGATTTCTTAGAAACAAATAAAGATATAAAATAAAAACTGAAAAAGCAATTGATGTTGATGGGGAGCCTTCTGTGTGACATGACACCATTAATATGATGATCTGCTCTCTTTAAAGCGTTAAAAAAAAAAAAATTAATGTCCTCCACGGATGGGTAACAAAATAAAATTTTAAGGTCATTTCATTGTTGCCTCTTCAAGTTAGGGGTCTATCCTGTCCTCCATGGATAGGTAGCAACCCTGAAGAAAAAAAAAAAGCATAATTTTAAATAGGTCAATAATCATCAAGTCTTTGGTTTGGGACTTTATTACTTCAATTATAGACTAGTAAATGTCGAAGTGAGTAAAATTGAATTGAATCAATGATTTAATTAAATTAAATATATAATTAAAATTAAATGGATTGAATTAGTTTAATGTTTAGTTGGTTTGTTTTTTGAAAATTTGATTAATTTTTTAAAATTATTTAATTTATTTAATTTTTAATAATAATTAATCGAATCAATCAATTTACTCACCTTTAATAAATACCTTTGATTCAATGTACATTACCCTTTTTTTTAAAAAAAAGAAACTCCATGAATCTTAATTATTCTTCTTATATATAAAAAACATTTGCAAGTTACTCTTATTTATATATATTTATCTAAATCTTTACGTAAAACCACTACATTTTGGCCTCTTGCTTTGTTGTTTTTTCTGTTCAAGTTATACCCTACATATATATCAACTGGAGAGGAGGTTACGTTTATTCCTTGATTTGTATAATGAACCCATTAATATGCATAAATTCGGCTTATGAATGTTTATTTACTAGTATATATTAAAATAATGTTAAAATATTTGATAGTTAGGTGGTTTAATTACTTATAAAAAATATCAAATTTATTATTTCATTTATCACTTATAAGTAATCGGATATTTGAAACAACATAACCTTACTCTCACTGCAATTATGGTGGCAAGACTAGTATGTTGCAATAGTCTTACATATCGTTTTGCAACTGTATCTTCACAATTGTTGTGTGTAATTTTTAATTCATAGCAATGGATTTAGGCATAATTGGACTGTCATATGGACTCTTAGCTCTGAAAAAATATAAGGCATAATTGGGAATACCTCCATTAAAAGATAATGGTAGGGCTGGACTTGAATAGGCATCTTCTTATGGATATATATTTCTATATATTATAAAAAAACTAAAATCAGAAGTAGAAATTTTGGATAATTGGCTCGAAAGAAATTAAATAATTTTGGGCAATGTCTTTGGTCTTACCACCTAAAACAAAGAATTGAGACAGTTGCAAATGCAAAAGCAAAGAGAAAAAGGACAACATAGAATCCCTGTCTCGACGACGGACATATCCAGACACAGCCAATTCCAGCCGTTACACAATTTCAAAAGATCCAGAAAAAGAAGACAAATCCAAAACCACCCAACACAGGATCAAAGCTGGCACACTGATCTCATCTTTACTTTCCACAGTCTTTGCCCTACAAGGACACGTGTCACTCTTTCACCTCATCGGTCACCATCATTTCTATCTCTCCTCCTCTCTCTTTAATCATTCGCTCCACCACACGTGCTCTCCCTCCTTTTACTCGCCGGATTTTCCTCCTTCTAAACCCTAAAATAGTCCCACGGATTTTCTCAGTTTCTCTCTCCCTAGACACTTGAAAGGGCCGGTGGGAGAAATAAAGTTTCAAAGTTTTTTCTACATTTTTGAAACGAAAACAAAAACAAAAAGGAGACCCATCAATATTTCCTTCCTCTTTATATATTTCCGCTGAGAAATTTTTCATATTTTGAAAAATTCCTCACTTTCTCCCTTCCCAAACACTCCACAGAAACCAAAAAAGGAAACAAAGTTTCAATTGTTTTCTACATAGAAACAAAAAGAAAGAAAACCCACCGACATTTTCTTTTTTTTTTTCTTTTTCACTGAAGAAAATGTCCATTTTTTAAAACCCAAAAAATAAAGCTGGTTTTTTTTTGTTTGGTTTTTTATAATGGGAGGGGTGACGTCAACCGTGGCGGCGAAGTTTGCGTTTTTTCCGCCGAATCCACCGTCGTATACTGTGGTGGAGAGTGGAGGGAAGCTGGTGATGAATGGGGTGGTGGCGAGGGAGAACGTTGACGTTTTAAAGGTGGGGACTAAGAGAGGGAATCAGGTGGTGGCGGTGTATATAAAGAACCCAGGAGCTGCGTTGACTGTGCTTTACTCACACGGGAATGCAGCTGATCTGGGGCAAATGTATGATCTTTTCAGTGAACTCAGTTTACATCTCAGAGTTAACTTATTGGGGTAAGTTAAAAAAGCTTTATCTGGGTCTTTGCATTTTATGCCGACTGTTCATACTTTTTGCTTTTTGCAGGTATGATTATTCTGGATATGGACAGTCAACTGGGAAGGTACGGAGCAAACTGATTTTTTTTATATTAATTGGTTGTTGTTGTGGTAGGAAAGAGTGGAGTGAGGGTAGAAATTTTTGAACATTGGATCTTTCATTTGGTAAGATAATAATTGAGGAAGATGAGGAGTGATGAGGCGAGGAGGTTAAGTCTTCTCATTTGATCATCGCTTTGCTTCGTTGTTTACTGATTTTGTAGATGTCATAAAATGGAAATATATGAAGGATTGGGAATTTAAGGCCTTTTTTTTTTTTTAAGGTTTGGGAACTTGAATTTGAAGGGAGGATTTGTAATTTACTTTTAGTATAAATTCCACGGTAAAGCTTATGAAAAAACATGAGTTTTTTCATGATTATAGTAATAATAATATCCATGGGTTTGTTATGTCTCTGTTGAGTAGTGAATTTGAAGTAATCTAAATAGAAAGGTGAATTTTAAGTTCATTTTCTCATATTATCGTATATACATAGGTATCTTAAATCTTTACTTACAAGACAACTTTTTGCTCTAACAAAATTCAAATTCATGATCTCAGACAAAGCATTAATTGCTCTAATTATTCCAACAAAGAACGAGATATTATAGAACGAAATATTTGGCTTCGCTCAGTTCTCCTCTGTGTAAATTAGAGAAGCTTAATACCTTATAATGAAACCTGTAATGACATCTATCTTCCCACAAAATATTTTTATTTATATTCGAAGAATTTTTAGTGGAGAATGTATAGAAATCATTGAGTTATGCTTTTGTAATATCTTTTCTTATTTTCCAATTTCCTGACAGCCAACTGAACAGAACACCTATGCTGACATAGACGCTGTATATAGATGCCTCGGGGAGAAATATGGGGTGAAGGAGGAAGATGTTATTTTATATGGTCAATCAGTTGGGAGTGGACCCACTCTAGATTTGGCAACTCGGTTACCGAAATTGAGGGCTGTGGTTCTTCACAGCCCAATCTTGTCTGGTCTAAGAGTAATGTATCCAGTGAAGCGAACTTACTGGTTTGACATATATAAGGTTCTTTTCAACTTCCAATACACATTTATATTACTTAATGTCCTAACTGCTTACAGTATCTGGTGGTAACTATTCTATCTTAATGATTCTTCCCCTGTTCATGATGCAGAATATTGACAAAATACCGTTTGTCAATTGTCCTGTTCTGGTAATCCATGTAAGTATTTCTTTAATTTGTTTGTAATGATTTACATTTTTTAGTTGTTAGATATTTGTAAAAGTTTGCATGTTATGATATGGCACATAAGAGTGATTAACTGTTGAGATTTGAAGGAAGTGTAAAACAGAGTGCTTGACAGAGCATCGCAACGACAGCAACTGATGCTATAAATTTGCTTTGCATGCATTTCTTTTTTCAAATATCTATACTATTTTTTAAAATCTCTTGGGCTATGCATGTTCGTAGTTCCTATATTTGCTGTATTTGATCATGGGTTGCCATTCTAACAAATGATTGTGTGGGAGCTTATATGCTTTTGTTTTATGTGTTTCCCCTTGTTTATTGTGTAACAAGTATGAGACCTATTATAACTACTGGATTTTATATTAAATAACTTTTGACCATTACCGAAGCTCTACGAATATAATTTTGAAGCCTTAAGGTCAATTCCTCTTTTCTCGAACCATATGGAGACTATAATTAGGGTGTGCTTGGATGGTATGATTGGAAAATCCAACAGATTTTTTAAATGCCTCATTGTCAGATGCAGCATTTGAGAATTCATTGTTTGTATAGTTTGTTTTATAATTTTAGAATTCATCTAAAAAACATATGTAGTTACAATATAAAACACAACAAAGAATTGTCATGTGTGGTGTAAATTTTAGAAATCTGAGATTTTGAAGAAATGATTTGAGGACACGTAGAGAGGTCACGAGAGAAAAATGGAGAGTGGAATAGGTATCTTGAGTTGGAGAGAGAAATAGGAGGTTCTGGTGATCAAGAGGAAGACCAAAGAAAAAGAAACATAAAAATTGTAGAATGATAGGGTGATGTTGAAGTTGCTGGAGATTTAAGAAGATGCTGGTGGTTATGGAAAGTGAGATCTGTGGCCAAAGATGAGTTTCGTTGGCTGGAAGTTTTTACATGAGAGATTTTCTCTCTTTTGGCATTTTTTTTTTGGTTTCACAGGTTTGGTCTCATTTTGAAATCTGAACTCAGTAGATCAGATAAAAAGTGTGTTTTTGGAGCCTCGTGTTACAAATACAGGGCAATTTAGCCAAATTTATGCTCTTGCATTGCGACACATCATATGAAATTTTTATTCTTGAAATATGGCCGAGCTTTGAAGTACTGTATCTAAATTCTAAACACACTGTTGCTGTCTTCGGATGTGAGGTAATTGTGAAGGGAATTTATTTTGAGAAAGGATTTTAAATTGTACAATGTCAGCTTCATCTAAATTGTACCATTTTTAAGGCATTGAAGACAATATCCTAATTTGAGGAAACTCTTAACTCAACCAACAAATAGATAGTTTCCAGTATTGGTGTTGGGGGATTTTAAGTTGCTTTGTTTTTTTTTTTATTTCTAAAATATAGAAATACCTCACCCAAACTTGTTGTTAGCATACATTAACCTTTGGCAGTTTGAAAAATACCTTCCTTAGTTCTTCCTGCTTCCTACTTTTTTCTGATGCTTTGGATAAAACTATCTCGTGGAATTCCTTAAATTACTCTTTTCTGAGGGATCACTAGGACGTAAATGTAAAGTTGACTGTAAGATATCCTCTATTATTAATTTTAACAATTTTGTATGGCCTTAATTCTATTTTTGAAAATCATGGTCTTCGTGTGTGGTGTCAACCCCTTGATAAATTTATATGGTTTGCTATCTGGAATTCTTTGACATGTAGATCCATGTATGGTGTTGGTAAAGAATGTGACCTAAGACAATTTGGCAGATCTTTTGTGTTCTTGTAAATTTGGCAAGATCTTGTTGTCTGTATAAATCAAGAATATGTGTCAAGCCTTCAAATATCTTGTCAATAAGTGACTAGAAACTCTGTAAGGTTAGGATTTTGCTGTTGGTAGATATCTTGTCAATAAGTGACACTGCCTTATTCTTGAAAAGACTTATGTATTTTGATACACATGATATTGACATTTGTAATCTTGGAAGGTATGGTTTATGTTTCCAAAAGTATGCTCATTACGCAAGCATTATTCATCTGTGTTTCTTGTATTGCTTCCAGGGGACTGCTGATGATGTTGTGGATTGGTCTCATGGTAAGCAGCTTTGGGAACTTTGTAAAGAGAAATATGAACCTTTATGGGTTAAAGGAGGGAATCATTGTGACTTGGAGCTATATCCACAATACATCAAGCATCTCAAAAAATTCATTTCAGCGATTGAGAAATCTCATCTTAGAAAAGGATCTGTCCCACTTCGTGATCATCTAGAGAAGCCTCGGAACAGCACAGATTTCAGGGAGACATCCAGACCAAGCACTGATCAGAGAGAAAAGTCAAGGGCTAGTACTGAACAAAGAGAAATGCCAAGGTTAAGCACTGATCATAGAGAAAAGGCTAGAAACAGCACTGATAAGAGAGAAAAATCAAGAAAGAGTGTGGATCGGCCTGAGAAATTCTGTAATGGCTCAGACCAACCTGAGAAAGCAAGGAACAGCATTGACCGGTTAGTTCGAATACATGCAAGCCAGTCCTTTACCTTTCGTTTCCATGTTCTATTGTTTTCTCCGTTAGTTGTGTCCTTATGATGGAATGACCATATACAAAGCTGGCTTTATGACTGTTGGCATTGAATTCTGGTGCAGTTTTGGAGAGATGATGAGATCCGTTGGATTGTGCAATATCGATTGTTTCAGGCCCACGGCAACAGCTGTCTGAATAGGGGAAAAGTCTACTAATTGGGTTTGTATTTTATTTCACTTCATTTAATTTGATTGGTCAATAGGGTCGTAGGGATGATAGGAATAAAAAAGCCAAATGTTTCTTAGTAATGTTTTAGAGTGAAAATAGGAATCAATTTAATGAGGGGAATTGTGTATCTTAATTAGTTGCCCTTTTGAGTTAATAAATCCATCATTTTACTTTCCCATGCTCTTTAACAATTTTGTGTGTTTGTATAGGGAAATTTGCATGTCTGTGTATGCCAGTGCATGCATGAACCTTATTTATGCATGTTTTTTTAATTAATGATTTCATAAAATGAAATGGTTTATTATCAGAGATGTCTACTTTAGAATGACAATGTTGAATTGAACATGCCTGTGATGGATTGGCTGGATTTGTATTTCATTTTCCAAGTGACAAAAATTGTTGAAGTTTTCCCTCCTCTATGTTATTGGTATTTTCAGGCATTTTATAGTGCTATGTTTGGTATTCTCCCCATTTGTTTTAGAAGCAGGCACCGATGGAGCGCATGCATTTAAATTATCTAACATAGCATCAATATTTAAGATTAGCACAGTGTAATGAAGCTTTATGGTCTTTTTTTTTTTATTTTTTTTTCTCTTTAAAGGGCCTTAAGTTGTTGTGATTAGCATTTCATGTTGATGTTTAGACACAGAATAACTTGGATTTTTGTAGCATTCTTGCGAAGTTTATAGATTTCATGTTGATATATGGTAGGGAGGCTGCCTCACATGAGTGTGACTGAGTTCACTTCTAAATTGCAGAGTCGCTCTGCAACTACTAGCTAATAGCTATTAGAGAAATAGATTTGTCCATTGAATCTTATAATCATTGTCTTTAGTTTACTTTCCATTGTGCAGTCAGCATGAGTACTCAAATCTGTGAGCCATCAGAAAACTTCATCCTGATGTTCCATTATGCACATGTTAGGATATGGAATACTATTATGGTAATCTTTTACGTTAAGCTCATAAGCCAGACACTCAATGTGCAAGTTTCTTATGAGGTTGAGGCCTTGTCACAAGTGAATAAGGAGAAAAAGAAAAAGGTTAATGTGTGAAGGGGTAATCATCTTCACAAAACCATAGCCAGATATTTTAACTAAAAAGAGAATTGTTGTTAAAGGCATTTTTTAGCAGAAAATAGTTTACATATTTTGCGTCAAGTCTGCATTCTCCTTCTCTTCAATCTGAAATTTGTTATTTATTCTTATTTTGTGGTTTTGGTTCAGAAAATAGAAATGGAGTTTATTTTTATTGTGCGGGACTTACAGTGTGAGATTTACCAAAGGAGAGGGGAATGCGTCCAAGGAGGAAAGGGAGACAGGACGGAGATATTGAAGAGCAGAAAAGTGTCAGAGAGAAAAGAAAGGAGGGCAAAGGGTAAACTTTTTTTAATGGATAAAATCAAGACAGACATCGTTGAGATCACGCCTCTCCTGGAAAGCAGACATTTGAATCAAGAGAAATTAAGAAGGTTCTACTCATCTATCCTCGGGTTCTTCATCCTCTAAGCTAAAGTCTTCCGCTTCACCTTTGAAACTTTTAGGCTCTTGTTCATCTTCATCGCCAATGCTTAAACTTCTTTTGCTCTTCTAGTCTGCATCCTCGTAGAATACATGGACACCCCATTTCTTCACAACGATATTAGTATATCTAGAGCTGTTATCAAAAACCTCTACCCTGTAGAAATCAAATGATGCCTCCTCATATAGCTTGTCTTCCAAAAACATTTTACTGGCATCAAAAACAATTAACACGAGATCTGGGTGCTGCAAATCTACCGGATCAGAAATCCATGACCACCCAAATTTGAAACTACAAGCATCATCATTGTCTATGCTTTTAAGTTTGCATTTGCCTTTAAAAAAGAGGCACCTGTGGTTTTCATCAGTACAGTGAACCACAATGCATATGGCAAAACACAAGAATCTCCAACGGCACCTATTTGGATGTAGCTTGGCAGTAATAGAAGAATTTGGGCTCTGATGCTCAAACCTTTCGGGTATTTCACTTCCAGGAAAATAACAATGTAGGTTTCCTGATCCACGAGGAAACTCCTTTGCCAATTGCTTTGCCAAGCAGTGAATTCTGAGCAGTTCATGAGCTACAACGTTGTTGATTGCATTATGACTCAGGTTGAAGCAATAATCAAAGTTGAAGCAATCTTTAAAGTTGTTCGGCTGACAGCTCCCGACGAATCTAGTTTGATTGTGATCTGCGAACGATACTTCTTCTGATGATATGCAGCCTGCGGCACACAAATATCTTAGACTCTGTGGAAGCTCTGGCAATGATTTAAGGTATTTGCAATTCCTCACGGTAAGGGCTTGAAGGCTTTTAACGATACTGCTCGGTAGTTTTTGAATCCTTGTGCCGTTCATACTTAATTCCACCAACATTAAGCTCGATAAGTTGCTTGGAACTTCTGGGAATTCGGCGATTGGGCAACCCACGAGAGATAGAGTTCTCAAAGAGCCCAGCTTATAGATATTGCTGGAAACATTTTTAACCTTCGACCAAGACATTTCCAACTCTGTAAGTTGGAGGAGATGCTCAACCGAATCAGGCACTTCTTCTATCCCAGTACGACTTAAATTTAACGAATCTAAATGACACGGGACCTCAGGAAATTTCTTGAGATCACTACACCCTTCGAGATATAGCTCTTTGAGAGATTCCAAATGATTCAGGCACCGAAGTTCAACCGAACTTTTGCACCCATAAAGGTCTAACATTTCAAGGTTTGGGGCTTGTGAGAGATTTGGGATCCTGATCAAATTTTCAGACCTTTCAAGGATAATCACTCTTAAATTCACATGATTCTGTGCAACAAAAATGAAATATAACTAAAATTAGCATATATGAAGTCTCTATTAAGCTTTGGGCTATAATAAAAAAGAAAAACAACATTTGGTTAAATAAATATAATATTAGAGATTAATACCTGGTCTCCATCCCAAAGTTGTTCAATATCGCTCTCAGGTAATATTAATTGAACAAGATTCTCTGGACAAAAATTGATGGCACAGATTTCAACGGGCACATCTCCCAATAAAAATAGCTCAGCTCATCGGATAGTGATCCGAGACCTTCAGGGGGAGGCAGAATCTTTTGCTTTCTAGGATGCCAGGGTTCACTAGAATCATAAAACTTGATAAATTTCAGGTAAGGCATTCCTTCAACAACTGTAGCACGTAACTTTAGCTGAGCAATTTTGGACATGTCTAGGAATATTCCTTCTATTGATTTAGTCCCCTGTAATGAACCACAAATCAGTAAGCATATCTATATATATATAAAAAGTAGAAATTAAGTAGCATGCATCTAAATTTTTATCAACAAAGTACATGAACATGAAAAAAGGTAGAACAAGTACCGAGTTGTTTTTGAGCACTTTGAACACATCTTCAAAAGTCCATAATCGACTACGTTCTTCAGGCCATCTGGATTCTGAACGAACAACATTCCAACCCATTTCTTGTAGCAAATCATGCATCCCAAGGGTGTTGGACCTAGCAACATATAAGAGGCTTCTGTCAATGAGGTTGGTAATTCCACCAAGAGCACCACCACTGTAACAACCGTCTAATATATTTTTTACATTGTCCCTATTATACCCTTTAAAGAAGCATGCAATATCAAGAAATATGCACTTCTCTGTTTCATCTAATCCATCATAACTAATCTTCAAATTTTTTTCATTTTTTGGGTGGGGATGTTGCTTTAATTTCTTCATGTCACTTTCCCAGTATATTCTGCTCTTTCGATAAAATGCTGAACCCAATACTTTGAGAGCTAATGGAATACCTCTGGCATATTGCAATACTCCGTTTGATAGATCCTTGAAATCATCGACTGGATGGTTTTGCTTGAAGCATGCCGAGAGAAAAGCCGAAGAGAGTGATCGTAATTTAATCCCAGAACCTCATATAATGCATCAACACCTCCATTCCTGAGGACTTGTTTATCCCTAGATGTTATAATAATTCTACTTCCTGGACCGAAGTGATGGTGACTAATAGTTAACTGTTCTAGCTGTTCAACCTCATTAACATCATCAAGGACAACAAGAACTCTCTTACGACGGAGTCTATAAATGGTGAATGCGGATCCTCTTCTGGGAGTACTTATATGGAGGTTTTTCTCTTCTAAAATATTGGAAAGAAGTTAATCCCGTAGAGAAGTGATTGCACCAAGTTTGTCTGACTCTTCCCTGACATTTGCCAGGACGTAGTAACTTTCAAACTGGGAAAAGACCTCATCATAAATAGCATGAGCAAGAGTTGTTTTGCCTATACCACCCATCCCCCAAATTCCTATGATACGAATGCTTTCCCTATCACCAACGCATAACAAGGATTTAATTTGCTTCATTTGAGGACCTATTCCAATCAGTCCCTCACAATCACTTGCAGACATGCGATTCAACTTCTTTAGAACATCTTGAGCAATTTCCTCAATGATTGTCAATTCATATGTCGAAAAAAATGTATACCAAAAGCATCAAATAAAGATATAGCTAAAAATAAGAGGAATATAAATCAAGTGAAGCAGGAAGAGTAAGAAGTATAAGGAGTAATCACTCATCTTTTTTGTCATATGAAAGCCGCTTAAGTTACCAGCTTGAGTCAAAGCATGTCTCCACTTCTGGACCTTGTCTATCCTATTCTTTTCATGTTCAGCAAAAGCCTGTTGAAAACTCCCAGTCTGTTTCCGTACGTCTGATGGGTCAACATGGTAGAAGATGGGCACCACGAGCAGTCCCTTTGTTTCCTTGAATTCCATTATCTTGGAGAGTTCTTCCAAGCACCATGATGAAGAAGCATAGTTTTCAGAAAGAACAATCGCTGAAATCGTGGACTCTTGGATTGCTTTCAACAGTGCTGAAGAAATTTCCTCTCCCCTTGGCAATTCTTTGGAGTCAATATAAGTTCCAATTCCTTTCCGTTGCAAAGCTTGATATAGGTAAGCGAGGAAGTTATTGCGAGTGTCCTCGCCTCTGAAACTTAAAAAAACTTGGTGCTTTACTGGGCGAGAGGAAGAAGGAGAGGAAAGGGAAGCCATCAGATAGCAGAAATTCGTTTTCTGCGAATTCGAGTAGAAGCTGGGATTCTTTAATGAAGCTTTTTCTACTGTAAGAATGAATGAAGTATGGCTTCTGCTTCAACTCCGATAGTGTTAACATTTATCTATAATGGGGTAATCGTAACTTCCTTGAAAGTTTAACGAAATGCCTTGCTTATCATTGAGGAGTAGAGCAATTAACAATCACTAGCTGTTACCGTGTCGCACGCGTTATTGTACGAATTTTTTTGAATTTGCTATCGACATAAAAGAAATGAAGCACTTCAAATTTATTTTTAAAATGTTATTTTCTCGTTAAAAAATATTATCTCATTTTTAATTTGGGAAAGAAGTTTTAAAAATATGTTGTGATCTTTGTTCACCAAGTGCTACATGTTTTTCAAAGTCTCTTAAAGGGAAATGATAAAATACCTTTATTTTTTAGTGTTTTTTGAGAAGTAAATATATATAGACCCATCTTGTAATATTTTTTTTTCCAATTCAATTGATATTATTATCTCATTTAGGTGATCAAAAATTTTCATGTAAAATCAATAACAATATTCTATATCCGCGCCATGGGTTTATAAAGTACGTGGATATATTCATATGATTGAATGAATTGATCAACATTGGCCAATTGACACCAAAGAAACAAAAACATCAAGCACTTTAAATTTATATATATATATTTAAATTTTATTTTCTCATAAAAAAGTTTTTAATTATATTCAAATTATTTTTATCAAGATTTCAGATTATTTTGACCAAAGACTTTAAGCTGTACATAACCATGTTGCCGTGTTCAGTTTACAACTGAAAACCCCTAGAAAAATTTATAAAGTTACACAAATATTCCCTTCCCTTCCCTTCCCTTCCCTTCATTCCAACAGGGAAATAGATCATTTTTTGACTTGAACTTAATCGGTCAGATAATATTATTTATTAGTAAGTAATTTAATTTTATCTTTTTTAAAAAATATATATTTAAGAATATAAAATGAGTATTTATTATTTTAATAATAAAATTGGGGTTTAGCTTTAAAAATAGGAGGTCCCATGCATGGACCTAACTGACCTTCAATGCAAGGAGTAAGGGTTCCTTAAGCCTGGTCGTTGTGGAAATTTACTAGAATTGGTGAACGATAAAAGGCAATGGAGTCAAGCTGACAGCCAACACCATTGACCCCTGCCTTGGGACCCAAATCTTCACCTATCACTCCTCTTAATTGATAATTCCGCATGTTACGTAGATAAATAAAAAAAAGTTATAATTATAAAAAATTAACACTAGTATCAATTATTTTTAACTCAATTTTTAATAATAACAAAGAGATCAAATTCATTGAAATTTGGATAAAAAGATTAAGAAACCAAAATTGAGATAGTAGAGGGACGAAATTCACTTTTCAACTTATAACCAACACAAGGCACACGACAATGAAGAATAAAGAAAAAAAAAAGCCAAATGCAAAATAATAACAGTGATATTGGACTTTGTAACTTATAATTTGATTTTTGACTGGCTATTGATAAATATTGGAAACAAAAGAAAAAGATGAGCAAAAGTAGTATTGAAGAATATTGTAGGCGAGGAATGCAACTATTATATCTAAAACTTCAATGGATGGATCGAACTCATTCTTCTTCATTATTATTATTCTTATTATTATTCTTTTTCACTCTTCTGTCAATTATTTTAGCACTTTTTACTGCTTTTGATTGGAAATTCCCTAGTGCTTGGATAATGGGTTAAAGACGTGTTGCTCCTCTTTCTTTGAATGAAAAATCACATTGAAAAAGAATGGTCATGCATGTTGGAAGATTGAATTTGATCATTCCAATAACTCAATTCAATAGTTTTAGTTCTTTTACCTCAATTTTAATATATTTAGTTTTTTTACTTTTAGTAAAAATCAATTTAAAGACAATTTATAACCGTATTAAGATTTTGGTTTCAATTTGGATAGCGTGCCATTTTGATTATGACTTAGTTAAATGACACATATTAATTGAAAACAATCATATTTTATTTTAATTAAATAATAACTATTTTTTTACATTTAAAAAAAATAGATATTTTTTTAAAAGATAATCTTTTTTTACACTGATACGTGTTTTATGGCCAAAAATATTCAAGTCGGCATGTTCGGTCATCACCAAAAACAAAAGTCGTACTATAAATGTTTGACATTGTTATTAATTATTTTTTAATCGATTTTTAATAAAAATATATTGATTAAATTCAATAAAATTAGATAAAAAGATTAAAATAACAAAATTAAGATAATAGAGGGACAAATTCAAATTTCAACTAACAATTAACGCAAGAATATATATGGCAATAAAAAATAAAGAGAAATAAGCCAAATGAAAAACAATAACTGTGACATTGAAATTTGTAACTAATAATTCGATTTTTGTTGACTTGCTATTGCTAAATATTGGAAATAAGAGAAAAAGATGAGCAAAAGTAGTATTGATGAATATTACAGGCGAGTAATGCAACTATCAAACCTTCGATGGATGGATCAGGCTCATTCTTTTTATTATTATTATTATTATTATTATTTCCTTCTTTTTATTTTAGTTTCTTTTTCACATTTTTGTCAACTTTTTTAACACTTTTTTGTGCTTTAGATTGGAAATTTCCTGGTCGTCAAGCTTTCTGCTAGGCTAATGGGTCAAAGACGGTCCTTTCTCATTCAAAGAATATATCCAATAAATCAACTAGAAAAACAGCTCTATTTATCCATATTGCTCTCTCATCTCATGGCTTCCTTTTCCCTCCTTCCACTTACTTGCGGCAACCAAAGAGCCAAGTGGGTTCAAGTTTAAATTGATACTGTGATTGATGTGAGTATGCACATCTATATAATGCAAGAGTGTGACTCTCGGATAAGAAGATAAGATACATGTGTGCATTTGAAAGAGTAAAGTTTAAACTTAAGCATGCATTACATTGATTCACACTGGAAGCACTATATCTACCTATCCTTGTTTATTTGTTGCTAACGTCTATCAAATAGGAAAGTTTTTTGATGTTTATCAAATTATTGTATATGTTAAAAAAAAATTAGAAATTAAGTAGCATGCATGCTTGCATCTAAATTTTTATCAACGAAATACATGAACAAGCAAAAAGGTAGAAGAACCGACTTCATTATTTTTGAGCACATTATGCACATCTTCAGGAGCCCATAGTCGAATGCGTACTTCAGGCCTTATGGATTCTAAACGAACAACATACCTATGCCAGGAGATTTTAGACTGTTTACAAATCAAGCAGTCCCAAGTGGGACGAGTATGCATAAACTCTAGACTTGAGACCAAGCTCACTACTTCATCTTGTTTCACTGATTCAGGAAGAGTGCTACTGATAAGGCCATTCTGTACTTCCAGTAAAGCACTAGAATGAGCCATGGGCCAACCCCAATTCCCCTCTCTTATCAAGACATCAGCAATTTTACCTTTTTTTATAAATGAGGCTTCCGCCATACTTGCTAAGCAAAGGGCCACTAGAATGCCACAAGAAAGTCGTTTCGCCATTCCTTGTAGCATAGCTTGAGCAGAGACCTGGCCGTATATATCCCTCAACTTCAAGATCTTCCTAAAATGCCAGCTACAAATATTTAAAGTTTTGACTTGACAAAAGCTCTTGTTTAAGAAGGTACATACCCAACCAAGCTACACAAACAGAGGCTTTTTAAAAGGATAACTAAATGAAGTTTTAAAAGATTTTTCAATTAAATTATTATTTTATATATCGATAGTAATATTAAAATGTTATTATATATTCATTTATTATTATTTTTATTTATTAATTTCTTTAAATATAACCTAATGAGAGAGGACTAAGGAATCTTGAAACCCAACTTATGGAATTTAAATGGTCATAATCTAATAGCAATTCTTTTAAATTTTTGCATAAGATTCTCAAAGAAACATGAAAATTAGATTTCTTGGTGTTAGTCAGATGGCTTCCCCCCCCTTCCCAATGGCCCAAAACAGATGGCATACCGTATCTTAGGTGTAGAATTATGATCCAAATTCAGAATTATTTTGACCCAAGAGTTTTCAGACCTTTAATGCTTAGCCTTTCTTCTTTGGGAAAACCTTAAGCTTCCTTTTTTATTGGCCCATATTTCCATGATCATCATTTCCCTTTACATCTCAATGCTCCAAAAAATCTCTAAATTACAAAAACACACCCCTTCACTGTCACGGGGCAACCGAAGCAAAAAGAAGCTCAAAACAAAGCAATAGAGTCAGACAAGGTTTAAGAAGGGTTTAAGGCGGCTACTGCTTCCCTTTCTCTGTATTACTTGACTCTGTCTATGAATTTTATTTTTTCTTCGGACGTTATTTTCTCAAACCCATTTTCTCTTTTCTCAAACCCATTTTCTCTTCTCTCAAAATCTGTTCAAAAATCCCACTTCATTTTCAGTTTCACCATTTATTTAATAATTTGATGTCCATCATCGAAACCCCATTAATTTCTTCTAATCTTTTAGACAAATTCGATCATTTTGTTCCTTTTGATAATAGAAATCCCTCAATTCTTTACCAGAACCCTTCAAAGATTTCCATAGTTATGTGGAGAAACATAGCTAAACATGCCATGTCGAGAAGAACCCATAGTTTTCAATGCTTTGCTCGAACTTATAGCTTTCTGGATACTTCTCAGGATTCCATTTTTCATGAGAAATCAAAGTTTTGGGGTTTAAAGTTTGGATCTTGTTGCTCAAACTCAAGGTTTCTTGGTATGGGTGGTAGAAGAATTGGTGAGGTTTTAACTAACTTGGAGTTTATAGGGACGGGAAGTTTTGGGTTTCCGAGGAATGAGATTGGGTGCGGTAGTTTGTGCCCAAGAGGGTATGTGAGTGTGGCAGAGGCAGTTTCATCAACTGATGTTGAAGAGGATGTGCCTGTTGTTGAAGAAATCAAAGAATTGTTGGATGAAATGAAGAAAGAACAGAGGAGAGAGACTGGAAATAGGCGTAGAAGGCGCCAAATAATAGAGAGAGGAATGGGCGAAAGCAAGTATCGGTTGTTGAGAAGAAGGCAAGTGAAGATTGAGACAGAGGCATGGGAACAAGCTGCAAAAGAGTATAGGGAACTTTTGATGGATATGTGTGAGCATAAATTGGCACCCAATTTGCCTTATATCAAGTCTTTGTTTCTTGGTTGGTTTGAGCCTTTGCGTGATGCTATTATTAAGGAGCAAGAGTTGTATAGGTTAGGGAAACTTAGAGCAGGTTATGCCGGTTACTTGGATCAGTTGCCAGCTGATATGACGGCAGTTATCACAATGCATAAGTTGATGGGACTGCTGATGACTGGAGGGGAACATGGTTGTGCTCGAGTTGTACAGGCTGCTTGTCTGATAGGTGATGCCATTGAGCAGGAGGTGAGTGAGATTGAATGCCACTTTTCTCTCTATATATTTTATGATTTTATGCTGTATTTGGTTTTATTTGAGATTTAAATAGTTGGTTGTACAACTAACTATGGAAAACCTACTGTTTAATGTGTGACTGAATTTAGTTGGAAAATGCTTCAAAATATGCTTAGGGGAATGAATTTATGTGTAATAGTTATTTTAGGTTAAAGCTGAGAGATATGGACAATAGAAAGTAAGCACATACAGAAATAGACACAGGAGAGAGAAAATAGAATCCTAAATTTTCTAAATGCATCATGATTTGTTAGAATGACAAAACCTAGAACTAAAAGATTTCTGGCCAGATTGCTTCAATGGTTACTTGATAAAATTTGTCTAAGAAACTTAAATATGGTTGTGTTGCAAGCAATAGATTTTTTAATCTATATTTTTCCAAATTAAAAAAGTGCACTGATATTATGTTTGTTTAAGAAGAAGATATTGAAACCTTTATGTTTTGGCACAGTTTAGGATGTTGGGTTATTTTAAATTTGAAGTCAACACATTGTCTCATCTGATATATGTTGACTATTTATTTTGAAATTTAAAATAACCGAAATTTAAAATAACCGAAGTTATTTGACATATATAAAACCTGGCTAAAACATGGAAGGATATCAAAATGCTCCATTTTCTATCCTTCAAAGACAATAACAACTTTACTTTTAGACGATATCATGATATAAATATCAGGGAAGAAAAGTTATATACTTGCATTGCTCTTTCCAAAACTGGACATTCTGTATTGTTATTTCATATGTGTTGCCTCTGTCAGGGGACTATCAATTCTCGCACCTTTTTTCATATCAGACATGATAACATTTCTTCTCTCCTGTTTCCCTATCTTACTTAAATCCATATTCACGCATCATTTCATGGTTAGTGCAATATTTTTGGGGCTTGGACTCCAACTATCACATTTGTTTTTGGCATTTTTTTCTTTGTCTTGACTTGGGTGACACTTGATGCTGCTTTATTCCTAACCTGCCGCTGTTAATCTAGGGCTGCTTATTCTTTCTTTAAAATTGAGCACTGATTCAAAGGAATTTCTGTCACGGTTAGGTTAGAATACACAAGTTCTTGGAGAAAACAAAGAAAAATAAGGTTGACAAAAAGAACGATGATGAAAGAGATAAGTTTAATGCTGAGATTAAGGAGCAAGAGAAGTTAAGGAAAAAAGTGACCGATTTGATAAAGAAACAAAAGCTACCAGCAGTGAGGCAAATAGTGAAGGGGCAGGATGACACGAAGCCCTGGGGCCAGGATGCTAAGGCTAAGGTTAATCTAATTTCCTGTAATCTCTAATAAAGCCTCACTTGTTCATTAATCATGCATTTCTTAAAATTCTGACCTATGCTCTATTTTTCCCAGGTTGGAAGCCATCTTATTGAGTTATTAATGCAAACTGCTTATATACAGCCTCCAGCTGATCAGTTAGCTGATTGTCCCCCTGATGTTCGGCCTGCATTTGTGCATTCTTTAAGAACTGTAGTAAAAGAAAACAAGTGAGGAATGGTTTCTTGTCTTTTGATAGGCTAATACTGTCTCTCAGTGATAACATCAGATAATATAGTCATTTTTTTTTTTGGCCAGAGGTATAGTCACTTCAAATTGCTGTTTTTGGGCATTTCTTTCTGCAGGAAAACTGGCAGAAGGTATGGCGTTATTGAATGTGATCCGCTAGTTCGCAAAGGCCTTGAGAGAACTGTAAGTAAATGGGTTATGGTCCTTTTTTGGACGATATTTTACATTTTATTATTCTTTTGTTATTTAAATCGTATGATTGAAGTCAGTGGATCTATGTAAGTTTCCAAAGAGGATGACTTGTAAACTAGCATCTAGAATATAAGATTTAATGACATTTAATAATTTCCCACCTTTCTTTCTCCTTTTATTGTTGTGTGTTGTGGGGCGAGGATAGGTGCTACCTCAATGTGCTAGTTGCAGATATTCGTTTTTTCAAATCTCTCAGAGAAGGAAACATATATTTGTTCTTTGATTCTTTCTTTGCACAGGCAAGGCACATGGTGATTCCTTATATGCCAATGTTGGTGCCCCCGGTCAAGTGGACAGGGTATGTTATTTTCAGTTTCATGTCAAGATTATAGTTTGCTTTTCCCTTGGCTTAAGGTTTGGATAATTTGCATTGAAACTAGTCTTCAAGTTCCAAAAAGATACAGAATTTCTTCATTTAGATGGCTTTGATGCATAACGTTACTTAAGTTTTTTGCCATGTAGAGCCTTATTACTTTAATCAATGCCTTAGTGATTTTGCAATTGGAACTGGAGTAAGTATTCATAGTTGAGGTATTTAATGAGAGGCCAAATTAAGATTGGATGCTGCCTGTTCAAGACCAGCAGTAACCACTGACCAGGATTACAGGCTTAGAATGCTGGGCTAGGAGGACCAGGGTGGGCAGTTCCTGTAAATGGGAGGGTATAGATTGTCTGTTTCATTTTTTTTCCTGTAGAAACGTTGGAGGCATTTTAGGCAAGTTGGACTATAAATCCACTGTATTCTAGATAAAGTAAAATGTATGAAGGATATGTTTGGAACAATTTGAAAGGATGAAGTCAACAACTTTTGAAGACAGATTGCGATTCCATGACATGCTTACTAGATAAAGACTGGGCTTAAGTATAGCATTTTGAAAACTTGGTATTTCTTATCAATCAGCTTGCAAATTTATATTTTTGCTGGTAAGATGGTTTGTATTCTACATACCATGTGGGTAAATGCTATCTTTTTGTCCTTTTCAGCTATGACAGAGGAGCATACCTGTTCTTACCTTCCTACATTATGCGCACACATGGAGTTAAACAGCAACGTGAAGCTGTCAAGAGGACCTCTAGGAAGCAGTTAGAACCGGTCTTTGAGGTTGAAAATTTCTTTAATTGTTAATTTTATTTTTAACTTTTCCAACTTTATACTGTTTATTCTGAACCCCAATGGTATTCAGACATGGAAAAGTCTGTACCTGACTACTGGCTCTATCAGTGGCACTTGTAAATTTAGATTTCATTTGATTAGCTTGTGTTTGGCGAGGAATATGATGATTTGTATAAATAACCTGCTAGGCTCTGGATACACTTGGATGTACCAAATGGAGGGTAAATAAGCGGGTTCTTAATGTTGTAGATAGAATATGGACTAGTGGAGGCCATCTTGCAGACCTGGTGGACCGTAAGGACGTGAGTTACTAAATCTCTTTGCCCTTTTCCTGAGCAACTGTATCCCTTTTTTCTATTTTTTTTCTTTTTTTTTCTTTTTTTTTTGGACCTTTTTTCAAAACAAGGCACTTTTTGGCTACTTGTTGTTCTGTATATTTTATGGTTTTTAAGGAAGATGTAAAATTCAGCTTGGTTCTATTTCCGTTAATTTTGATTCCCTGACAACAAGCAGAAATAGTAATCTTCAAATCTTGCAGGTTCCCTTACCAGAGAAGCCGGATAGTGAGGATGAAGCACTGCTGAGGAAATGGAAGTGGAAAGTCAGATCTGTAAAAAAGGAAAATAGAGAGAGGCATTCACTACGCTGTGACGTAGAGCTTAAACTTGCTGTAAGATCTGTTTACCTTCATAAAATGCTAGTATATTTGTATTTTTGGAAACCAGACTTATCCCAACTCTTTAAAACTGGGAGCACCAGTATTTTTAGAAACCAAACTTATCCCAACTCTTTAAAACTGGGAGCAGGTAGCTCGGAAAATTAAAGATGAAGAAGGTTTTTATTACCCTCATAATCTTGATTTTCGAGGGCGTGCATATCCTATGCACCCGTATTTGAATCATCTTGGTTCAGATCTTTGTCGGGGTATTTTGGAGTTTGCAGAGGGTCGCCCTCTTGGAAAATCAGGCTTACGCTGGCTGAAAATACATCTCGCAAATCTGTATGCTGGTGGGGTGGACAAATTGTCTCATGAGGGTCGATTGGCTTTCACTGAGAATCATCTGGATGATATATTTGACTCTGCAGACAGACCACTTGAAGGAAAGCGCTGGTGGTTAAAAGCAGAAGATCCTTTTCAGTGCTTAGCTGTGTGCATTAATCTCACTGAAGCTTTGAGAACCTCCTCTCCTGAGACATTTGTTTCACATACACCTGTGCATCAGGTACCTTTTTTTGTTGCCCCAAGATGCTGCTCCTATATTTTGTATGCACGATTATTAGCCAATGATCTTTTATTAGGATCACAATTGATGAATTTTGAATAGCTCATCCGTAGGGTTGTTAGAATCTAATATATATGTGTGTTGTGTGTGTGTGTATGCAGACACGCACTCAAGAAAAAACAGAAAAGAAACAGAACATGTATTGAGCTACATGATGGAATATCAAACAGTTTAATTTATGTCTATAAATGCGTCTTTATTGTCATTATTTTGCAGGTTTCCTATATCTAAATTACATGGATTTTTTTCTACTGGGCTATTTAGTGATTAGCTAATATGTTCATGATTTATATCATTCAAACAAATACATACTTAGAGTTAGGAATATTATCAACTTTCAAAAAAAAAAAAGAATTAGGAATATTATCAGTTTGAATTTTATCCTGTGGAATGTGTTCTACCTTCTTTCTTGTATATAGTGACAATTCTTGTTTCCTCACATCTTTAAGCATCTGCTGGCTCTTTCAGCCTGTAAACTGATTACCTGCCTCTCTTTTCTCTTGCCTCCTCTAGGATGGTTCCTGCAATGGTTTACAACACTATGCTGCACTTGGAAGAGACAAGGTATCCTTTTTGTCAATCAGAAATTATGATTGAAAGTGTTATACCTTTTTGCTTCTGCTTATAATTTAAACTTCCAGTTGGGAGCAGCTTCAGTCAATCTGGTTGTAGGTGAGAAACCAGCAGACGTTTACTCAGGAATAGCTGCTAGGTAAGCCATTTTTCTGTAGGTTCAAATGAAACCTACTAATAATTGGTCCTGATCCTCTGATTTGAGATAGCCATTTCTGAGTGAGCTTTTGAATTAATTCTCTTCTTTACTGCACTTTTCCTCCCTCCCCTCTAAGAAATGAAAGAAAAAACTAGAGTTGTCCAGCAGTGTCCTTTTGAAGAAAATTAATTGAAGTGATAGTTCTTATCCAGCTTTTGTTGATGATTTTGACGAGGGAAATAACACAGTTGACATTTAACTGACTAATAACTGGAATGTAGAACTCTCTTGTTAGATTTCAGTTTGTACAATACAAGAACAGTAACTTTATTCTGTTTTGTGAACTTAAAAGATTCTGGAACTCGCTGCATGTTTAGCATTTAAGATGAAGAATTCACACCAAAAATGTTCTGCTAATCCTGAATGCACCGATGCACATGTACAGATGCATTTATTTGCCGGATGATTATGCTATACTCTCCATTAATCAAGGGCAGATAACTCATTATTATATTTACATATATATTCTTTGGGAAGCATGGGGAAGGGTGTTTCCCTTTGTTTGCAAATTATTTGAAAGTGGAAACAGAACATAACTAAGCACTTGCTTTTATTGAAAGCTAAAACGCCAATTATATGTTGTGAGTTAAGTATAACCAATCAGCCTCATTCCATTCAAAGTAAAGGGATACTTAAAGTCTTGGGTTTAAGTTGAGAAGCATAGGATTGCAGGGTTTTATGGGAGAGGCCTCTTCTGTTGTGTTGGCCGACTAGTCGGATAAGGAAGAAAAGGTCATAAACTCTGCTTTACCACATTCTATATGCTATCTTTATGCGTATTCTCTGTTTAGTATAATACATTTGGACGATCATAGCAAGCAGGGATCCTAGTTTATTGGTTATGCAATCCTTGAAAACCTAAGGAGCAGTTCAAATTGCAAAGGTTAATACTTTATTGTCACTGTCTGGTAAATAATTATAGCATTCACATGTATTATATCCTATATAATGAAAGATTTCTATTTTACGGTTTACATATATTTCTGACCACAAAATACTTTTCAAGTCAGTTTAATATAACAATACAAATAACAAAAGAACTTATGTTCTGAATGTAGAGTACTTGATATCATCCGGAGGGATGCACAGAAAGATCCTGCAGTTTTTCCAGATGCATTGCATGCAAAAGTATTAGTTAACCAGGTATTCCATGGCCTTCCGTATATGATATTGACAAAATTATTAGACTAGTTAAGAGTCTACCAAAAACCATATGCTATTATTGTTTTGTTCTTGTCCATTGTAATCATTCATGTTGCAAGTATGGCATTGGCAACTTGCTGAGTGTATATCCATCTTGACTGGAAGCTATGCGCTATTTAGTATATGTAGTAGTTAATTCTGATGGCTGGAGTTATTGTCAAGGTGGATAGGAAACTGGTGAAGCAGACAGTGATGACCTCAGTCTATGGAGTAACTTACATTGGTGCACGAGATCAAATCAAGAGGAGGTTGAAGGAACGTGGTGTACTTACAGATGACAAAGAGATCTTTGGTGCTTCTTGTTATGCTGCTAAGGTAACGAATACTGGAACTTCCACTACTTTAGCTTCAACTAGTTTCACCAAGTATGGGCCTGCTTTATGAAATTGCACTCTCACCTGTGCTGTCAATTTAATGATAAACTTTAATTTATTTGTGGGGTAGACAACCTTAACTGCCTTAGGAGAGATGTTTCAAGCTGCACGTGCTATCATGAATTGGCTTGGTGAATGTGCAAAGGTGTCTCCCACTCTATCACTTTCTCTCTGCCCAGTTTTTCTTCGTGTTCCTATTTTCTATATATTTAAATTTATTGGATGGTTTTTAGCTTGAACTGTTGAACATGAACAGATTATTGCATCTGAAAATCAGCCAGTGAGGTGGACAACTCCACTTGGACTTCCTGTTGTACAACCATACCGGGTATTAGGAAGGCATCTTGTGAGTATTAGAATGTTTGTGGAAACTTAGAATCTGCTAATATCTGTACTATCAAAAAAGAAATGAATCTGCTAATATCTTTATTAAATTTAAAAAAACTAAAGCTATTTCGAGTCATTTAACTTCTTCCTGTTAAATTGGCAGATAAAAACTTCTCTTCAGGTTTTAACACTGCAACGTGAAACCGAAAAGGTACATTAACCTATCTCGGTTTTCTGGTTTATACTTCTGTATATGTTAGATATTGCTTATTGAATTCTGCATGCCCTGGCTTTGGTAAATCACTGAACACAGCATGTCAAACCAAGATTCTAAGACAATGTGCTCTTGTGACTGAAAATCTGAGAATTGCAGGATTTTTAGTGCAAAAAATAGCACAAGTTACACAATTAGGTCAGATATTGCTCAGAGCTTTTTCACTGGTTTTTCGATCATATATGAACCAGTGTTTTCTGTTGCTATGGGCTAACCATTTGATTATATCAATTTTTCATAATAGTGCCAAAAGAGAAGTAGGAAAAAGGAAGAGGTGGATGGTGTGTTTCGGTATTGATGAGGGGTTTGGCAGGATAAAGATTAACAAGATGCAAAAATTCTTTTTTTTCCTTAATTTATGTTTAATAGGTCAATTATTATGAGACTGATTATAAAAGAGGGACAGGCACAATGAGCTTACGGCTTATCCAACCATGTTCCTGTAAGAATAGGTTATTTAGGTTTGTTATATTTTATAGACATGACCTTATAACTCTGTAACTTTTAGCATAAGGTAGGAGTCTAGAATTTAACTTGCACACCAACTAGTTGAAGACTTTTAGAATTGCATTATATGAATTCCTCTGATGTAAAAAACTCATAAACAATAAAGTTATCATGTTTACTAATATATATATATATATATATATATACACATATATATAGTAGAATATACAGTTAGATGCCCAACATCAAAACTGACTGGCCATGACAATCACTCTGTCAATCTTCAGCTGTTTTGAATTCCATATGATGTTTGTTCACTGCCCACCTTAGCTTCATTCTAATTCTTTTGATACGCATGTACATGCACTTCATTTTATTGGGGAATGCTAAGCTGTGATAGACTTTGTGATGAAGTATGCCTGGAGGCTGGACCTTTTATTGACATGGGTTATACTTGCCCATGCCAAATCTTAAACCTGATGATTTATTTCCTGCTTTAGGTTATGGTCAAGCGACAGAGGACAGCTTTCCCGCCAAATTTTGTTCACTCTCTGGATGGGTCTCATATGATGATGACTGCAGTTGCCTGTAAAAAGGCAGGCTTAACCTTTGCAGGTATTGTAGTTGATTTCATTGTATTTTGATACCTCATTCTTATGGTCAACTTCAAATTACTATACTGATGTGTGCTTACAGGAGTTCATGATTCATATTGGACGCATGCAAGTGATGTGGATAAAATGAACAGGATACTAAGAGAAAAATTTGTTAAACTGTATGAAATACCAATACTGGAGAATGTAAGTGTCCTTGCTTTTTGAGATCCTGTTTTTTCAAGCGTGCCTGGTAATTTGGCTAAACTTTGTTCAATGCATGTTTTATGTATCTAAATTTCTCCCTTAATTAGGATTTTTTTCATTTCAGAAGGAGGAAATATTTATTATAAAAATGAGTGAAATTGTGATGAGACTTTTAAAGATTATCCTCGGACTGTGAACTTTAAACTTTATCTTGAGGATAACATGAACCATTTACTAGTCTTCATGTTTTGGAAAGGAAAAAAATGTGGTGGTGGTGGTGATAGGGGTGGAGATTGAGTAAATTATATTTAAAAATTTTCAATTTTCTTTTACGTTGTGGCCTAGAATTGATATAAACTATATTCCTGCAAAAAAATAGTGTTTGTTTTCTGTCATTTCATAATTATCTTTTTTGTGTTTTTACCTTTGCAGTTGTTGGAAAGCTTTCAGCAGTCTTTCCCTACATTGTGTTTTCCTCCCTTACCTGAACGGGGAGATTTTGATCTAAGAGATGTGTTAGAGTCACCTTATTTCTTCAACTGATTTGATGTCTTGGGCTTCTCTTCATCTGAGCTTAGAGCAAAGCTAATGCTGCTTTGGATGTCATTGTGCTGCCTCTGGTCGTTCTCTCAACTTTTGAATTTGCAAAAGATGAAGAGCAAAACTAATGCTTCTTTGGATGTCGTTGTGCGACCTCTGGTCATTCTCTCAGCTTCTGAATGTGCAACCGGCAAAAGAACTGATTCCTATCAGAAAAAAAAAATCCCGACAGGGAGTTTTTTTTCTTTTTATAATTGAGGGAAAGGAGATTTAAATTTTATTCTTTAGGCAAGGAGATCATGCACTAACCAATGAGTCAAATGCTCGGGTGTTCTCAATAGGGAGTTGGTGTTGTTCACTTTGTATATATTGTGAAAGATGTTCATGGCATGGAGAGCATTGGCTACACTTGTACAGTTGACATGTAAATTGGTGCTGGTAGAACCTTCTTTTATACGGAGTTAATGTGCCAGCCTAGAAGTCTAGAATCTTTAGATAAAATGTTGAGGAGTCAAAATTCTGCAATGCTTATTGCATTGCAGCTGACTAATGATTCATTTATATCTCAAGTGATAAAGTTACATGATGGATTGGGACGGATTCTTGGTTGTCTTGGAATAGTTACTGAAAACGAGAGGTTCTATTGTAGGCTGCTAATCTTGAGTGTTGCTGCAGCAAACCTTTCTTACACCTGAACTGGATCTGATTATATATATTCTTTTCTGATCAGTGTAAAGAATGAGCAGTAAATTTATTCTTGTTTATAGAATAGTACACCTTACAAATCATTAATTAGTTTGGAAATCATTTTACATTTTTCAATCCCAAAGTCTGGATTCTGGAAATGGTGAAACTTTTTTCTGTTCCTCTGCTGAATTTAATTTGTTTCAACTTCACCTTTCTGCTTTCCTCAATTTCCTCTTGAAATATAGATGAAATTTTTAGGATAAGTTTTACATATACTTCTTGTAGTATAATCATTTTTTGTCATATAAAATTTTATATTTTATTTTTGTTTTCATAGGACCGACAAGGTTAAATATTCAGTTTAACTTTCTGTAAAAAGATAACAAAATCTTTTATCTCTTTATTTGTCTGGATTTGTTGTATTTTCAATTGTTTTTTTTTTCTCTGTATAAGTACCTTGTTCACTTTCTTAATGGATAGGTGCTAAGTTTTGGATTCAGCTATGTTTCCTTTCTTGATTTTAATGAAGGATGTCTCATTTTCTTTGTGTAAGAAGAATGAAACAAATAAATAAATATGAGCTAAGTGAGAACTCCTGCACCAAGCCAGCCTATTGTGTAGACAAGGCTGGTTATTTGAAACTCCTCCAAGCATTGGATCCCTGATAACTAAGGCAAGGGGCGGTTTTCTTTTCATTTCTTTTTTTTTTTTTTTTTTTTCTGAAAAGCTTTCATATGATTTCATTCCCCTTTTCGAAGAATAGAACGTGACACAAAATAGGGATTAAAAATATTAGTTAGTATCTCCGTTTGCTACCTAAAAAAAGACAATCCCTATGCTATATAATTTCAAAAGGGGACGTCAATTTTTTTTATACAAAAATCTATTATTAATAATATTAACCAATTTAAAGTAGAAAACATCACAAGGAAATAGTTCCAGCATAAGGGATAGACCGAGGCATTCCTTCATCACAGTAAACATCGCAACTTAATTATCACCACAGCAGCAAGGATAGCGTACCTAATGAAGGCACGGGGCACTTAACAATAACCATAATTGTCACAAAAACTACTTTATATTTTCAGTTCAACCCTAACCAGATTTCAAAATGGAAAAAAAAAAAAACTAAATCTGTATTAAATTTGGCAACTAGAAAAGAAACTTATAAGTAGATCCAAAACTTAACACATCCAACACAAGTATGCAGTTTTTGTACCCATTAAAAAAGGAGCAAGATAGAAGAAGCAACTCATAATACAATCAATCCACACGGATAAAGAAAGAATAAAGAGATAAATGATTTTATTATTTTTTTTTACAGAAAATTAAACTGAATATTTGACCTGTTAATTTTTATGAGAATAAAAATAAAATACAAGATTTTATATGAAAGAGGAAACTTAAACTGTTATGTGAGAAATAATTATACCATAAAGAGGGGAGGTGAGCTTTACTTAAATTTTTATATGGGTAAGCTTGTGATGGGTCAAGGTCGAATTTCCTCTTTGTAAATCTTTGGTAGTCAAGAATTTTTGGACTGCTGGCATGTGGGCCAAAAGTGTTGCTTGAATTTCTGTGTCAAGACTTTGAACATCACTGGTTAAACCCAAAAAACACAACAATCATTGAAAAACAATGAACAAGGCCAAAACACTTGCAATTTGTAATGAAACTAGCCGAAGGTGACTTTACCCATAATGTCCTTATATATATATATATATGTGGTGTGTTTTAACAGTAAAATTATGAATTTATGAGCCAAAACAGAACATGTCTTACTCTTCAGCAGCGTGGCAAGAATTTGTATTTCCATATATACTATGGTCTTATTAAACTATTAAAAGCTATATATATATATATATATATATATATAAGTATTGAGAATGTGGATATCAACCCTTGTGTCACTCTATCGTTAACAATTGACAGGTGAAATTGGAAAGCAAGGAAGAAGGATGGATTTGCAAAAGATTGATATTTGTGTCTAAATCCTATGGACATAAATTAAATTCAAACAAACACTCAAACATTTGACTAATTGATTGGTGAATTGGAATCCCCTTCCTTCAATAATAAAAAAAATTAAACCCAATCAACAATATTACAAAAAAAAAAAAAAAACAAAAGACATTTAATGAAAACAAAAAACATAAGATTGCAGATTGCATTGCAGATTGCAATGATCATAATTAAATCATAAAAGTCAGAAAATAAGATTATAATTGTCTTGATTTTGGAAAAGCCCCAACCGTCTTGCTTATGCATTGCACATTGCAGCTTCACCTTCCTGTATTCCTGCCCTTCTGACAATTACCAGAGCAAAACATAGAGCCGACTTTACCCGAAATGACCACAACTGAATTAAATCGTGTATCTTCATGTCATTATCTTCTAAAACTGAGTTCCACTCTCTTACCAAGACATAGATTGAGGAATTTTTCCCTGACTCCTTCCCCATATCCCATCTCTTCAAAATCACCTTCCTCGTTTGCAAAGATGGTTCAATCAACAATGCTTCTATACCCATTGAGTTATTCCCATTACTCCTTACCAGCATGTTCTTCTCGTCATCTGTAAGAAACTCCACCTTGACTTTGCTCACAGGTATCGAGAGACGACCATGATGCTTGCTACAATCAGTCTTGAACAATGGCTTTTGAATGATTAGCTTCTCATCAGTTCCTTCCATGTCTCTGATCATCTTCTTTAACCTTTCAGGCAAACCAGGTTGTGTCTCATCAGGGCCAACAATATCCATGCAGTACTGCTTTTGCTTCCTCAGTTGGGGGTTCTTTACGCCACTGGTTTCACCTGATTCAACGCAACGTTTATGAACCCTCTTTACCTCTATTGCCATCTTTCCCATAGAACTTTGTTTCTGTGAGAAAACATCAAAAGGGTTTCTGATTGAGACTTGCTCAGTTTTCCATTCCCTCATGGATATCTTACTTGAAATTAGTCTCATACAATTTGTATATTTTTTGCTCTTATCCTCGACCAACATTCGTTTCATCGACCTACCAGTAGAAGACTTGTTGGTAAAGGGTTTTTCTTTCATGAGGGGAGGTTTCTTGCTGGAGGGGTTATCCCTGAGTCTGCGTACATACCAACGAAAAGCCACACGTTTATGCTTCTTGATAGCTCCTTCATGGACTAGTGTGGCTTTCTTGAAGGAATCAGGCGAGTTATCGACAGCAATATCAATCTTCAACCCTTGTCTTTGGCTCATTGTTTGCTTCATCAACTTCTCTTTCTCCAACTCTCCCCGGGCAGCCACTGCAACCTCTACCAAGCCGTGGAAGGCGGTCCAGTCTTCCGCTTTTTCCTTACCCTTAGAATCCTCGAAACCCTTCATCTTTGCTTTCTTCTTCTTCTTTCAAAGGTTTTTTGTGTTTCACTCAATTATCTTAGGGTTAATAGCATTAGAGAATAATAAGCAGGGTAGGGAAGTTAATAAATAATGAAGGAACGGACGTATCATGATCTTCAAGTTAGATCGGAATTCCTATTTTCCTTAAAACCCTTTTCCTCTTACTGTAAGGTTTTGGAGATTGAGGTTTTAGGCTTTGTTTTGGTTTTTCCCTCATAAAAAAAAAAGAAAAAATAAATTACTTAAACTCTTTCTTTTCTTTTCTTTTTTCTTTCATCTTATTCCTTTACTAAATACTATACAGTGGTAAAAGATAACTTAATTTCTTCTTCCCTGTTTTATGGTCCAAGGACGAATAAACAGCAATGTAGATAGCGTCCACCAAAAAACAAAGAAATTAAGCCCTGAGAAAATTGCACTCCTTATCAATGTTTGTTGATCAGCACCTCCTTGGGTTGAAGATAAGGGTCGTACTTATTTTCATTCCTATCAACTTTTAAGAACTAAAACAATGGATTAGATTCCTCTAATCCATTATTGAAACATTAAATTTCCAAAGCTTTCAAACAAAAATTCTTTTAGATTCTTTTTTTCTACTTAAGATTTTTGGAACAAGGATGAGTAAATTTTTATTTCTCAAACAGAATATGTCTAAATTGGAAAAGAATAAATAAAAGAAAAATCTTTATCTTATAATATTTGTGGTATTGAGTCTCAATTTTTTTAACTGTTGTTATAAAATAATTGTAGGGAGACTTTAAAGTTTACCCTATAGACTAATTGGTTTTTGAATCTCTCTATTTGATCCTATATTCAAAGTCTTGGTCCCCTTCGCAACAAATGAGGCCTCCATTCATTTCTCTCAAACCCCAGCCTTCATACCAAGTAGTTTCCAAGTATACATCCAAGATTTAAGGGTGGCGATTCCCAAAGGTACAAAATCTTACTTTGTGCAGCTGGCATATGATGATACAGAATTCGCCATTGTTTATCATGGCAGCGAGCACAAGTACAAACTACAAAATCCATATTTTCTATTGGACAATGGTTTATCCATGAACAGATCAGCCCTGCTACAATGCAACTCCTAGTTCCTTAGAAGTTAGAAGAGACTCCAAAAACAAATTATAGCTTTCTATTCATTATCGTGAACAACCGTTTTATGTTAATTTTCTATCTCATATTTTTTCTTTTTCTGAATTCGATCTATTGCATCTATATCTATTCATTGGAATACATTTCACTAGAAAGAGTTACAACCAATGACTGAAGGTTCCTCCTATTCACATCAATCCACAACACAGAATCCCCACCAGCAGAGGTGACGGTTTGCCACCAAAGAGCCAACCCCATAAGCTTAAACTTGTGACAGTATCTTAGAAGGCCATTTTTTGCACCTCTGACCCAAAGAATATAAGACAAGCTTGTGAGTCAGTACCCGTATCGATCATTTAATGTAGTTCTCCCATCACCAGATTGCCCTGCAAGGAACACGAAAAAATTGCAATAAAGTCACGCTGCAATTCCAAAAGAATAGAATCACTTTGCAATCCATTCAGCAGCATCCATTAGAGATGCTACAGCAATACTGAAATTTCAGGTTCAATTGACAATAACCAAAAAATAGAGTACCTTCAGGAGGAACCCAAGATTCATATTCTGGATTACTATTGAGAAATGAAGGCTTCTCAGGACCCATCACTTGTTTTGGCTTTTTCTCTTTCTTCTTTAATTGATTTCTGGCCAACATTTCAGGGGTTTCATGCAATTCCTCATCCTCTGCATGGTAACCTCTACTGTGCTTCAGCAACAGTGCCACAGCATTCTGTGCAATTTCTTCAGCTCCTGTAGAGGATGACGTAGATTGATCGGAGGCTTTGTCATCACCTTCAGATTTCTCAACCTGTTTCTGTTTCCTTATAATTAGACCAGAGGCAGTAGTTTCAATTCCTGAGTGCCCTTTAACCAGTGGATCATCAACACCCCCAAGTACTTTCTTCCTATCTTTGTAATCAACAAATTGGTCAACTTTATGTGTTTCTACTTCTACTTCTTGCTGTGACTCTTTAATCTCCTTGCTCTCAACAGCACCAAGCCACTGGGGCTTCACAACAGTATAGATAGCCTTTTTAACCTCAGCTGGATCACTAAGAATATTCTCTTCTGGTTTCTTGCTTGATTCCATAGAAACATCTGCAACTCCCTCTTTCGGCATGGGAGAATTTGCTGGTTCTTTAGATGTACTGATTTTGGGTTCCAATGGAGGCTGCTTATTGACAGCAGTAGGAGTTCTAGATTTGTCAGGTGCTGGTGCTTGTGCCTTAGTATCCCTTTTCTTAGCAGCTTCTCCTGTTGGATCAGCAATCTTCAACAGGTAGAAGATCCGGTCCAACTCAGACTGAAGGGCAAACAGTTCCTTCTGAAGTTGCGCGGTCCTATCAAGCACTGAAAGAAGAAAATAGGAAATCAGCCACTTTTGCTAGTTGCATCTCTCTATTTACCTTTTTGCTTTCTCAGATTGCTAAGAAAGTAAAAACAAATAGACGAAAAGATGAACATAGTTTAAAAATGAGCAAATAGCTTAAATGTACACAAATTCAAACACAGTCGCTGTGTAGAAAATTAAGTTCCTGCCTTTTATTCTCCATAAAACTCAGACATTTGGCCATTAATTGTTAAAAAAAAATAATTTTGCTTTATGCAAGGGTTACCTTTTGCTTTTTGCTTTTCGAAGGAAAAAGGAAGTAGCAAGAGGTTGCAACCAGAAGAAGCCTTAAAAAGAAAGAAAGAAACACACAAAAGCTAACCACCACAAATAACTGGAAAAAGCTTGAAGAAAGACCAGAATACCCATGCTAATCATATCAAAACAACTAATCTATGATTTGGAAATGATCAGAGTGCTGATTCTTTGCATCATCAGCAATCTGCATCTTTTATGTGCAGAACTTTTAGCAATCTATTTTTTAAATTTATAAAAGTTATCTCACCTAGCTGGGAAGAAAGCCCAGACATGTAAGCATCAAGTGCATCTCCAGCTTCTGTTTCTAATGCAGTTTCTGATGCCATTTTGTTCCCCTCACTTAACAGCAACTCCTTCTTGTCTTCAATTTCTTTCATAATGGCATCTCTCTTATCAAGAAGACTATCAGCAGTTTCAATAGACTGGGTTTCACCAACTTTCAGCACAGTAGGTTTCTTCTTTGTCCGGTCATAAAATTCATCATCATCACTGAAGAATCACAAATCATTGCGAGTGTTAACTGTTAATCTAGTTTCACAATTGAAGAATAAACCAGATGCATATCCTTATCACATGCTTAAAAGAAGGGAAGAAACTTTAAATAAAATGCATATAAATTGAGAAATGTAAACGCAATAACTGCTAATTACAAATATGTTTTAGATGAGTACCTAAAGCAAATAACTAAGAATATAAAATGATTTTGCGTACATTTCAACAATTTTGGCACCAGAGGCAAACATAAAATCTCTTTTTTGTTGTTTTGCTTTATCCTCAAAGATTTCTGTTTCCATCGGGAATTTCTCAAAAGGATAAATTACCTTGAAAAGTCTTCATCGTCATCTTCTGGCCCTCCTTTCCTCTTACCATGAGATATCCTTCCAGCACGTGCACCTATGCTTTCACGAATGCTTTCATTTAGTGTCTCTTCCAAGTTTTCAAGCTCTTCCATTATCTACCAAAATTGTATGAAATAGTGTCAATACTTTATTTTAATTTCACTTCACAGTCAAAGGGAAGAAGGGGGCCAAAAAGAAACCTTATGGCCCAATCTCAAAGAATCAAACCATATACTCCAGGGGAAAAACATCAAACTCCAATCAAAATAACTTTCAATATACCTGTGTTATTCTTTGTTCATTCCTAGCAATCTGAGTTTGCTGGCCCTGTGTTAACCCGCCTTGAGCAATATCTTTGGCACGTATTGCATCTATCTCTTTCTTCATATGAGCAATCTACATCCAGAAGAATGAATTGTAAATGATAAAATAACAAGCACTGAAACTGACATGAAAAAAAGAGAAAGTGACACCTCTAAGTCTAATTGAAAGACCTAGAAAGAGAGTTTAGACAACTAAACTGAGCAGCCTAAATGAGGAAAAAACTATCATTATATTCATTTTCTAAGAAGAATTCACAAAGAGAAAAGGGCTTGCCTTTTCAGTCCTTTTTATTATCTTATCACGGGTTTTTTCCTGCTTCTCTGTAAGCTGTCCTTTGTAGGTTTGCCAAGTCATTTCATCAGCATCGTCCTAAATATCCAAATGACTTCAGTGAGTAGAAAAGAAGAATGACAAATTATCTGCTAGTCTTGCATCAAAACAATATGAATTTGGGATTTAACAAGAAAATTTACAACATATGAGGCATCAAGTAAACATAATACACTCTATAAAAAAAAGTGAAAATGATAAGACAGCCTATAATAAATTGATATGCATCACTAAGGCATTTGAATCAGCAACAAGACTAAATTGCCAGCGGGGAAGAAAGTCACCAAATTCTTGATATCTATCGAATTGCTTGCTGATAGATTAATGCAGATCCTCAAAGTACAACAATTTCGTGTTTGCACTCATCAAAATTTTGAGTGAAAAGTACAGGTCTTTCTTTGTTTAGAAAAAAAATAGTTCTAATATCACATGAAAATCAACAAAAAAAATTCCTAGTTAACAGAATTATATGTATAGCATAAGAGGTTAATAACAAAACAACCAGACAAAGTTGCATATAAGCTAATTTTATTAGTTTCAAGGTATTTCAATCTGATTAAAAATACAAGTTACACAAACCTCTGCTTCTTCAATAGCGTCCTCTCCAATGCCCCATGAGATACCATCAGCAAGAGATGCTTCTGCCCTTGCTCGTCGAAGTGAAGCTTCCTGATCTAACATCTCTTCTCGGATCTTAGCTTCTCTCATGATTTTCAAGTCTTTTTCCTACAACCAAAAACCATTAGAAAATTACAGCAATCAAAAACAATAAATACAATTGCATCAAAAAAAAAAAACCAAAATTCTATGACTGACAAAAAAAACCTTCTGCTATTTCTTTCTGATTCTTTTTCCAGCAAAAGAATAGAATGTATAGATGATAAAGCCAAAAAGAAGCCTATAATCCAGAACTTAGAACTCCACAGAGTACTTCCTCATACAAATCCAGGAGGAGATGTCAAGTAATAAAAGTAAATATGATTACTTAGTGCCTTTTTCTTTGAAGAAGATACAACTGGATTCTTAATGTTAGTTTTCTGGACCCTCACTCCTTCCTTCAAACACTTGCTTGGTATCTTTTTTTTTTTTATAAATTTGAAAAAGGAAATGATTTCACAGGAAAAGGAATCTCTGGCAAGAAATTCATCAACGCACAGGAAGTTCAGTGGTTTAAGAATTTTGTAACGCACCCTAGCCACTACTCTCTACAAAATTCTGAAAGAGAGTTCCAGTTAAAATATCTTCAGGCAGTTGGATGCAGCATGTATTAATGAATAAACTATAACGAACATATATGGGAAAAGGTGCACATTTTTCCTTTTGGTAGATATGGAGGTACAAGAGGAGAGCGAGGCCCAAGGGAGGGTAACAACCACTAGGCCAAGCCTGAGTTGTTGAACACGATGATGCATATTTCTGTCTACATAGATGCCACTGCACACGTATGTACATTTTTTCATAAATTGAACACCAACATGTGATTGAATATGATTATTTGACAAGTTTCATAAATGTTTTTGATAATGAAAACTGATAATTCTAATAAAAATAAAGATTTGTGCACACAAACAAAAGCATTTATAATGAAAAATGTAATTCTCAGTTATCTGTTAAACACTTAAACCCCTAAATTGAAAACTAAGATCAAATCAAAGAATGAATAACCAAATAAGTTGCATAAAAACCTTACCGGTGGCATCAACTCAGAAGGGCCTTGGAAGATATACAAACGAGATGACCTGCACAATGAAAAAAAAGAAACAAAAGATAATCACAAACCCGAATAATATCCTTTTTCTCACCCATCTTTTTCCTTTTTCTTCCATAAGTAAATAATGAAAAAAAATAAGAACGTTCAACATATGTATAAGAGGTAAATGCAATGAAGCACTAAAAGGTTTCAACAGTGCAGAACAAACTGAACCCAGACCCATTAAACATAAAACGTACAGAAACTTACAAGCCCCACCCTACTAACACCCCCACAACCCAGCCGCTCTCTTTCCCTATACTTGCATGTCTATAAAAAATAAATGATGAATGTGCAAGTGAAGAATCTATGCCTTCTATAGCAAATGCTCCATTTTCCCACCATAATATCCACTATTCCCAACAAATTAGAGCATAAAAGAGCCAAGCTAAATATTCCTTTTGTATGGACTAGGGACAGATGGGTTTATGCACATCAGAATAGCATGCAGTGCTCAACCTAAATTCAGCTCTAGGACTGGAATAGCCTTTTCCCTTTGCGAAGGATGCCAGTCAAATGAATAAGAAAAACAATCCAAAGGAAAATCAAATGGGACTGGAAATACGAATGAATGGCATTGAAAAGAAAGATGGAGAAGCAAAAATATGAGCAAATCAAGACATGCAAGCAGTAGACTACTTACTGGCCAAATCGAATGACATCACCTACATGTAAGTCCACATAAGTCCTTTTTGTCACCTAATTAAATTGGAAAGAAAAATCAACTTAGAATGCATCACAAACACAAGACATTATAATCTAGCAGCAAGTCCATAAAATTTCCCACATAAAACAAGGATTGTATCAAACAAGCAACTTAGGGAAATTGGGCAATCGAGCATTAAATGATCAAGATAACAAAGGCTTAGTTGTGTTCTTCCTCTACAAGAGATATACAAATCCTGAACAAATTAACAATATGTTTATCTATTCTTTTACTTAACTGATTCATTATAAAAAATTTATTAATATCGATAACTTCTCCACTGCTAGAAGCAAAAATAATTGGACAGGAAAAAAATTTATGCCAGGAAGAACAGCCAAAAATTTCAAGCATTGTAAGCATAGCTCTAAAGTATCTAAATGTAATAACCTAAGACAAAAATACAACTAATAGATTAAATATTCCTCAAATTTCCCATACTACATGAGATCAAAACTCCAAAAGCAGCACATAACTGAAAGAATAGAAGATAAAAATTTGTAGCGTGAAGCAGAAAGTTTGACTGTCTGTATTTGTTGCCTTTTTGCTGAATTCCCAAACAATTACAGAAACACTGTAGCATGACAATATGCAACTGATACAACAAACAGAACACCGTTGTGTGGCAATACCTGACTCTTGTTGATAAAAGTGCCATGTGTACTGCCAAGATCATAAAGATAGGCCTGCCCACTGCTCCTAAACTGAAGCACTAGTAAAGAGAAAAAAGTAATTAAATAACAAAAGGAAAAGCATTAACACATTCCTATGGTTAAAGTTCTACTTAATCCTCACATTCCTTGACATTAAATAGTTGTATATAAAACCACTGATTTTTCAAGTGCACCAAACATACTAGCAATAGTATTACAAGGATAAAGAAGAGAAAAAATATTTACAAAGAAAACGATCTCATTAAAACACCATCTTGTTTAGTTCAGATGCCACAAATTTGTTAGTGGGGTTGTCATGAGCAACGACTTGTAGAATAGAGAACATATGGGAGTAAATCGGAGATCAGAGAATGCTTTCATCATGCTGTCCACGACAAATCAAGGATCACAAAAGGCTGGTCATGTATGATGAGCTGCTTCAAGAGGGTATAGAGTTATATATTTAAGACTAAGTTGATCAAGCAGTTCACAGGAGTATCACAACCCTTAGATGCTATCATGTCAGGTAAAGTAATATGGTTTATTATAAAGTACAAACACTAGCCAGAAGATTTCACCAACTCAGCAAGTTAAATTGCATAAAATACATGAAGATAACTACTTCTTGGTTGGCCAACAAATTGAAATATGTTATCTCTGACCAAGAATGATGGTCGCCAATTTCGATTCTTTTCGATACATTTTATGGTTATGGACATAAGACTTTGTTAACCTTTCAAAATGACTTTGAAAAATATGTTATGCCCATAACCATAACCTTGATGATGTAAACTTCACAAAGGGGTAAAAAAAAAAGCATTTCGTTTCTCGGGTATCCAACTTATTTGCCATTTAAAACCATCAATGTTAATACTAAGATAATTGAATCTACTTCTTTAGAATCCCAAGAACTTACGTATTTGCAATCCTTATCCTATTTCACAAACAAAATATTTTCACAAAGACAAACAAAATGTCCAAGTTCACCAACCAAACTTAAGCTATTAATTCCTAACATAACAAATACAGAACAATAACATGACCAAATAAAAAACATTTACCAGCATGAAACCGCGAAATAGTGGGATGCTCAAGCACAAAATCACAGAGATCAACACGCCCAAACATATAAGCTCCCTTCTCGTACCTACACAAACAAATTTCGTTATTATTCAACAATTCCACAAAAACAATAAATAAAAATGAAGGCTTTGAAAAAAGAAAAAGAAAAAAGGGACGTGGGTTAAAAATAATTACACTTTAAATTGGTCAATGATGCAGCCATCCTTGAGGACCTCAAGGAAGAAATGGTGAGAAGGAGGTCCACTCCACTGAGGGATTGTGTAAGGCACAGGAGATTGTTTTGAATTTGAAGGCTTTTCAATTGAATTTGGTTCTGAATCTGAATTTGACTCCTTTTCTTGGTCTTGCGGGTTTTGGGGGTTAGGTTTTTTGGCAGGAGGTGGAGGTGGAGGACCCATTGAGGTTTTGGCTGTTGTGGGTTCGGATTCTTCTTGGGTTACAGGTTCCGGTTCCGCCGAGGGGTTAGGGTTCCGGGAAGGCGGTGGACCCATCGTGGTAGTCATGGTTGCGGGACAGAGAGTAGAGAGGTGTTGCAGAGTTTGGGGAGGCAAAGGCGCCACAGAGGGAGCTATGTTGAACGGAACTAAAGAAAATGTGTCCGAAGTACGGACAAGGAGGAATGGGCGGGTCGGTTTTAGGGTGGATCCGGTTTGAATTTTTATCGTATATGCAGCGCAGGATAATGGGCACGGCCCAAAGTATAGAATTACAGATTATATATGACAAAATTAATATAAAATACATATATACATTACCGGCAAATGTATATTCTAAATATATTAGCAAAAATATTATATTCTTAATAATTCAATAGCCAAAGGATATATTGAGAAATATTGAAATTTTTTTTTGGATTAGTAAGCTTTTTTATTTATCCAGAGCACAAAGAACAAAGTTCCCGCTCTATGTTTTAAATGTCCAACAAATACCCTTTATATACAAGTGAAAAGTGACAATGCGTAGAAAGAACACAAAGAAACTGCCTGGCCGCTGATAGTATTAAACCGCCATATATCCTACAACTGACCAATCACAAGTTGACAACACAAATGTTAATTATTGAATCCAAGTAGAATAACCGACTCACACTGACACTACTACTCCTTGCAAAACGTGTATACATCACTAGTGAAAATACTCTGTTGCTTCCATTCGCACTTGAATCAATTGGTTTCTTTGGTTATTTCTTATTGCGTTTCCTTCACTCGGATTTTCGTCAACAACTATGGATTCTGTTGAGCTAAGAGGAGTAGTGAGGAATAGTTTAACGATGGAGTGGATAAAACTTAAAAGACTTTTGGCAAAGGTCCGCATGGATTGGTTCACTTGGTTAAACCAAAAAAGCCTATTTTTTATCAAGTTTTGGCTGTGAAATCTTGTCTCTACCAAGATTCCTTTTCACTTCTAAAGGAACAACAAGTCCCTAAAGAATTTGTTGGCTGTGGCAATATTGTTCCATGCTTTGGTGATATGTTGAGCACTGATCAAGAAGGGGCGCTGGTTTACAACTTGTTTCTGTTAGAACACCAAACTGAAAAACTTAGAAATTGGCTTCAAGGCGTGTATCAATGTCATTGTCTTAAGGTTTTATTCGCCCCACTTATAGTGTGCAAAAGAGTTACTGGCGTATAAATCTCGAAGATACAATGAAGCTCAGTGATTGATGGCGTTTTGCACTGACGAAATCAATCACTGAGCACTCATCGGAGTATAAAAGATTATCAAATTCTATAATATTTTTTTCAGGAAAATATATAGAAGAAACTTGGAAATTTTGAGGAAGAAGAAAGAGAGATATTACTGTTTTTCTGATTTTCATTGAATAAGAAATCTCTTTTATAGGCATAGATGCATGTTATCAACAAATACTATATGTGTCTGTTTCAAAGAGTTGCTCCTGTTGATCTTTTCCAACAGACGTGACTCTTTTTTTATTTTATTTTATTTATTGATTTAATTTTCAACAGACATAATCCTTCTTTTAATTTCCAACAGTCACAATTTTCTTTCTATGAAATCATATTTTTATTTGAAAATGTTCAACAGTTTCTTCAATATGTTATTGTTGGAAGTCTTTTGAATTTCATAATCAACGAAAATGGGGGCAACATTCCGGAATGTTATGCCAAGTGCTACACAAGAATGCTGGTTGAAGGGATTTAGGATATTCACGAGAGTGCCTATGTTCATTGAGATCTCAAGCCAAAAAATATCCTTGTTTATCAACTTTAGTCCTTACCAGCTATTACTCTTTTCAGCTTATGTATTTATGTGTGCTTGCTTAGTTCTTAATGCATTTTAACACTTGTCTTATGCATATGACCAAATGTTGTAGGCTATTATCCACGTATGAACCTATTATACTTAAATGTCTTTAGTAACTAGTAATGAATTAGATGAATTTTAGTTCTTTGTTTTACATATTTTATTCATCCTTGTTTTTCCTTGCTTGTAACGGAGGCTACATCATGCAGTTGTATCTTGACTTCTTCCAAATCATAACATGGTATTAGGGCTCAATTTAAGTTCCTAAAGGACCCAAACTCTAAATATCACTACAAAATTCTCCAAACAACAACTTGTCCTTTAAGAAAGGCAAATAGTAGTACCTTTTCTCATCAAACACCACTAACCTTTGGTGGAGCCAACTACTCTATTTGGTTTTGTAAAAGTGAGAGCCTACATGAGGGCCTACGACCTCTGGGATGTAGTTAAAGCAAAACATGGGAAAAGACAAATGCAAGTCTTGAATCTATTAAAAGGAGTTTGAGATCCTGAAGATGAAGGATAACAAAGCTATGAAGGACTGCAGAGATAAGTTTATGCAAGTAACAAATCAAGTGAGATTGTTAGGAGAAAATTTGTTCAATGGGTTCTTACTCGAGAGATTTGAAGCTAAAATCTCTTCATTGGAAGAGTCAAAGGATATCTCCAAAGTGACACTTACTAAAGAGTCAAAGGAAGAGCATTTGTTCATGGTTATGACCAAAGCCAAAGCTCCAACTTTAAAGGAATGAGCTTGGAATGAGCTGATGTTTCACTCGCAAGTATTAAGGAGGAGTGTTGAAGCTAATTCTTGCATGCAACCTGCAATAGCAGTTTAACACTTGTCTAGACTCAACTTAAGTCCTTACCAGTTATTACTCCTCTCAGCTTATGTGTTTACTTGTTATTATGCATGCTTAGCTCTTAATACATTTTAACACTTGTCTTATGCATGTGACCAAGTGTTGTAGGCTATTATCCACGTATGAACATGTTGTGCTTAAATGTCTTTGGCAACCAGTAATGAATTAGATGAACTTTAGTTTTTTGCTTTGCATACTTTATTCATCCTTGTTTTCCTTGTCTATAACAAAGGCTACATTATGCAGCTATATCTCAATTTCTTCCAGATCACAACATGGTTCCTTTAGCAATCTAAAGATTGCTAATTTTGGCTTGCTTAAGCAACCTGGAGAAAGAGATATGCTAGATCAGGTAAAACCCTGGATGCTAAATTTTTTAGGTACAACAGTTTACATGTGACTAGAATATGTTAAAGGTGGGATGGTCTCTCAGATGTATTATTCTTGAGATGATCACTGAAAAATTACCATGGGGATATCAGAGCTTGAGAGACTTGAAGATCAAGTTTAGATTTTCAAGGGATTGCCCAAAAATACCCGACAACATGTCAAGTGTAGGCAAAGATTTCTTGATGAAGTGTTTTGCAAAGGATCTTATCGAAAGGTGGACCGCTGATATGCTATTATGTCTTCTTTTTCTCCTTCCATGAAACAAAATTTGGCAACGTGCCTAGCTATTAATTAATTATTTTTACTGTAATAGTTCAAACACTATATTCTGCTAGCTATAATATTATTTTTTAATTCAGCTAAAATAATATTATAATTTAATAATTTATCAATTTTTATCATAGATTGAAACTTGGCAAGGGTGTTAGAATATTATCAAAGATTCATTCAATTTTTATATTAATTTATCAATTTCATTATATATAGTTTAGTAAGACATATAACATCTTTATAATTTGGTTGTGAAATTTAAACACTCCACTACGGATATATAAAATAATAATTTTTAAAATAATTAAATAAAATAATAAATTACTACAGTTTTAATATATATATAAAGAAAAGTTAAAAATTAATAAAGAGAAAATACTTGCTCTAATACTTTTTTTACCCATATTCCTTTTTACCCTTTTGTATTGTTCTCACTTTTTGGACTTCTATCTCATCCTTTTTCACTTCCAACATGCATCATACATTTTTTTTGTCATAAATCAATAATTAATCACTTAAATGTTCGAATTGTGGTTATCTTCATAAGACCTTTAATAATTCTTATCCAATTAATAGACTTCATATTTACCAAAAAATTAATTGAACTTAAACTTTGGAAGCAAATATTTTTTTTTCATTTTAAATAGCATGCTCTCGTATCACATCTTTTGCTTTTCGTTTTATTATTATTACTTTTGAGAATAATAAAATGTTTCTAAAATAAAACATATCTAAATTTTGAATCAACGACCAAATTTAATTCAATTTCGTCAAACTGTAAAAGAAAATAACTTCAAAGTTTGTAGACAACAGTTCGTTAATCCTTTCATTCTTTCCTTCGGTTGGTTTTCTTTAGTTATTGCTTATTTGTATTTTTTTCAATCATGTACTATCACCAACAGCCGTGGATTATGCTTGTAGTAAAAGGAGTATCAAGGAATACTTTAGCTATGGAGTGGATCAAACTCATGACTCTTGGCAAGGGTTCATTTGGAGTTGTTCACTTGGTGAAACCAATAAAGCCTGTTCTTGATCAAAGTTTTGCTGCAAAATCTTGTCTTTACCATAATTCCTTTTACATCAAAAGGAACCACAAATCCTTGAAGGATTTGTTCGCTGTCAAAATATTGTTCAACACGTTTTAATATTGTGATCTCAAGTCGAAAAACATCCTACTTTATCCTTCAGGTTAAAATCGTTTGATTAATAGTCTAAAAATTATTGATTTGGCCTGGCTAAGTAACCTAGAGAAAGAGTAGATAGGCCAGCTGGGATGCTAATCTTTCCAAGCACACCAGTTCACATGCCACCAGAATCTATTGATGATGGGAAAATCAGTGCTTCGTTTGTTAGTTACCCACATAATGTTAGTTTCTTATGTTCAGTTATGATCTGTATATCACCCATTCTCCACTTACCTTCTGTTAACCACTTTGACATGCTCACTTTCTTGTTTGGATTATGTCTTTGATGGGAAGACTATATATATATATATATATATATGTAAGAAAATTGAGTATGGGCCCTTAAGCTTAGCATTTTTTTAAATACATACCATCTAAGTGAGAATGCTAGAGTTTAAAAGTGCTTTTATATTTAAAAGGTTCTTTTTGTGACATCAATGGCTGGATGTTAGTACCCAATTTTGCATTTCGATTTTTTTGTATGTTAATTTTGTTAAAGTGCATAGGTATAGGCATCTATGATGTCTTATAGTTGGTATTAGAGCAGTTTTAACCTCTGTCTTGATGTGTTTGAGTTTCTATATTTGTTTGCAAAAATAGTAGAAAATTTTGTTTTATAAACTTGAAATTGTTTAGTCAAATTTTTAATAAAATGATGTTGGAAAGCTAAAGGAAATTCAGTTCTAAGCAAAACGGCTTTTGACATGTCGAAAATGGACTTCCAAAGATCGAGATATAATCAAATTTATGAAACTGGTTCAATGTTGGGTTGAACAAATCCGGTTGGAGGTAGAAGACGATGAATTAAAAAAAAATATGAACTACTACTTTTCTTTTGATAAGTTTAGGGCATGAACATATTTCTTTTCTTTTAATACAAGGGTCTGCTTCTTTTCTTTTAATGAGTTTGGATATGGGTTTCTTATCCATACATTGGTGAAAAGTTGGGTCATAAGTGATTCAACCAATTCTAACAAAGTCCAGCAATTATTCTTTTGGGATATACATATGTTTTTTAACCCAAAACATAACAGGACAATAAAAAAATGTCATTTTAAAACAAATTTTTTTTAACAATTTTTAATGTTTGATTTTATGCATAAATTAATGAATGTATGCATTTTAAATGTATCGATTTGTACTCTTTGTCTTATCTAGTTTATGTATACATGTAGATCCCTGAACTGGACTTTGAGATCCCATACATGTTGCTTAACTATTTTATGCATAAAATTGGATGTCATGTGATCAATATAATTTAATTAATTAAAGATTAGTTATAGCATCTTTGATTATACTAAATTATATGTTAAGTTTCCTTGAATCACATGTAGAAAAATGACATCAATTGTGATTAATCATATCCAAATATGATAAAATTTATCCCACAGGATTTTTTATTATATTTGTATAATTAATTAGGATGAAATAACATATTATTTTTCTTAATTTACTAACAAGAATTAAGAAAATGAATATAATTTGATAGTTCCGTCATGAAGTTTGTATATGAATCTTTGAAATAAAACTTGGCTCACAGGCAATTTTTATTTGTTATTTGATTCATATTTTTAAGCATGATTTACATGTTTTACATTGATAAAATATGACATTTTTTTGCCTCAATTTCTATGACTTAAGTATGTACATTTGCTTTAATGCAGTTATACAACCTATGAATTTTTCTTATATCAAATGTGATATTCTCGATTTAAATAGTGATAACTATAAAATATGGAAGGAGAAGATTCTTCTCCAATTAGGATGAATGGACATTGATTACGCTATTCGGAAGGATGAACCACCTACATCTACTGATACTAGCACTCAAGCTAAAATTGTTCTTTATGATGAGACTAGACTGATTTAAACTCATTTTGTGTTTATCTCAAGAAACCTATATCAATAGGATTTTAGAGAGGTTTCAAATGAAGGATTGTTCACCGAGTGTAACACCTATTGTGAAGGGTGACAGGTTCAATTTGAACCAATGCCAGAAAAATGGGATTGAAAGGGAACAAATGAAAAACTTTCCGTATGCTTCTGCTGTTGGGAGCTTAATGTATGCTCAGGTTTCTACAAGACCTCACATTGCATTTGTTGTTGGAATGTTGGGCAGATATTAGAGTAACCCAAGTGTGGACCACTAGAGAGCTGCAAAGAAGGTGATGAGGGGACCAAAGATTACATGCTTATGTATAGGTGAACTAACAACTTGAAAGTAGTTGGTTACTCGGATTCGAATTTCTCCAGGTGTGTTGATTCACAAAAATCAACATATGGATATGTTTTTATATTTGTTGGTAAAGCCATGTCTTCGAGGAGTGCAAAACAAACCTTAACGGCTACTTCTACTATGGAAGTTGAGTTCGTTTCTTGTTTTGAAGCTACCTCACATGGTAATGGTTGAAGAGTGTCATATCTAGGCTTAGAATTGTGGATTCCATTTCTAAGCCATTAATGATGTATTATGACAATTCAGTTACGGTTTTCTTGGCTAAAAACAACAAAAGTGGTAGTCGAAGTAAACACATCAATATCAAGTTCTTAGCCATAAGAGAATGTGCTAGGGAGAACAAAATGGTCATTGAGCATGCTAGCACTGAATTGATGATTGCTGATCCTTTAACAAAAGGCATGCCACTAATGAAATTTAAGGATCATGTAGCACGAATGGGACTTGGTTCCATCATGTGATTTTTGTTGTATGAACTTTTATCATTTGTAATGAAACTCTTATTCATTTGTGTGTTGTCTCATCTTTATGTACACATTTATTTTGAGAGTAACGATCATTATTGGACCTAGAATAAACATAAGGTTTATTCATTAAGTTATGATGGGCTGACATTAAAAAAAAAGAATGCATAGTGATGCATGGAAGATAATACTCGTTCATAGAGGATTTGTCGCTATGATTCATATATTTTGTTTCTTTTCTTAAGAAGAAAGATTTGTGGATTTTGGGTATTATTAAATAAAATATATAGACCAACTAGAAGAATGTTAGTTACCCGTGTTCAGTTATGGTACGCATATCACTCACGCTCCACTAACTTTCTGTTAACCACTTTAACATATCCACTTTCTTTGTTTTGGTTACGTCTTTGATGGAAAGACGATATATGTATATATATATATAAGAAAACCGAGTATGGGTCCCTAAGTTCAGCATTTTCTAAATACACATCATCTAAGTGAGATTGCTAGAGTTTAGAAATACCCTTATACAAATAAGCTTATTCTTGTGACATCTATGACTAGAGGTTAGTATCCAATTCTGCATTTTGATTTTTCTGTATGTTAATTTTGTTAACGTGCATATGTATAGCATCTATGATGTCTTATATCATTTAGATACATAGTCGCTAGGGTGCATTGTTCTCGATATGATTACTGGACAACTACCACGGGATGTAAGAACTTGGCAGAATTTGGCGATCAAGGTCATCTCTTCGACTAACTCACCAAAAATACCCGAAAACGTGTCAAGCGCAAGAAAAGATTTCTTGACGAAGTGTTTTGCAAGGGATCCTAGTGAAAGGTGGACTGCTGTTATGCTGTTAAGCCATCCTTTTCTCCTTCCAGACTGCATCTTGTTGCCTTCTCAAAGAAACTCTCTTCACCCTGCTCAAGCTGTTTGTTATGTTCCATTGATGAAACAACAAATGATGCTACTTGTCTAGTGGGAAGAAATCAGAGAACTGAAATAGCAAGCTTCTCTTAAACATCTAAAGCTCTTCCCTATTGTAAATGGGCTAAAATCAACTTTTATATTATAATATAGAACT